CGCCTCCGCGCCGGGCAGGCCAAGGCCGGGCCGGGCCAGGCCAAGGCCTACGCGGGCGCGCCCGCCCGGCACCGCTCCGCGCCTCCCCACGGCTTACACACACACACACACCCACCCCGGTAGCAGCCAATGGCGGCGCCGGGCCTGCGCGGGCGGGCCGCGCTGAGGTAAGGGCGGCCGGTAACCGGGCAGGGCCGCGGCGGCCTTCTCCGGTGGCGGCCTCGGGCCTCCTCCTGCCCGCCCCGCCGCTGGGTCTCGGTGGGGAACGGGTGGTTTTGTGGCAGGGCCCGGCCTCCTCCCCGAAGGGGAGAGGGTGAGCCGGGAGCGGCCGGCCCGGCCGTCACGGCGCTTTGGGGCTGCCTTCCCAGCCCTTTTAATTGGCAGCAATTAAAAACTCCTAGAAATTACCGTTTATTGCTCCCAGCTCTTCACGGCCCTCACCTCGCCGGGCGTTTCACCACAAACCCCTGATTTACGAGGGTGATTCGTTTCTGAGCTGCTGTTTCTAGCTCAGATACATCATTTTAGAGCAGTGTTCTTGTGATATTTTCTTTTACCCTAAACCACACCGGAGCCGGTGGAAATACCAGCTGATGTTCACCTCCGGTCCTACGGCACCTGCTTAATCTAGACAATAAATCAGAATACAGCGTCACCCAGGAAAAACTAATGCAATTATATGCATGAGAAATCTGAAACATTAAAGCTCAAAACAGCTGTAATTTGTGTTCTCGGGCTCCTGGGTATTTCAAGCAAGAGTGTTGTCATTAACTCAAGGGCTTCTGGCCTAACTACAGCAGTAAAATGTCAGTGTTTCAATCAGCATTCGGAAGGGGCGAAGACAACGTTTTCCTTTCCAGTTTTGTGTTAGATATAAGCTTTGGTCAAACAGACCTGCTGGTTTTACCTGGACCGAACCCAAGCAGGAGAGATTTGTGCCCTTCGGTTTCGGAAGCATCACTTAACACAGCCACACTGGCTGCAAGCTGCAAGAGAGGCAGCCAGAGCTTTTGGTAACCCAGATTGAACAGTAACCCAGGTATCGGAGCAAGGACGTGGACACCTGACAAGTTCACTGTCGGGTATTAACTTGTTTATTCAGAAGTTACTCTTCTGTAGGTCCTGGTATCTGGTACGATTTTAAAGATGATACCGGGTAAGTAAAATTTGTATTTATTCAGCACAAGTAGTGCTCTTTTACCCTTTGGTTATCTGACTGTGTGGCAACCTAAAAGATAGACTCAGTGGTTTAGTTTTTACATGAGTTTTAGTCCAGAAAAAAAGGCTGTCAGGTTGTTGAACACCACATCTCTTATACCTTTGTTTTGATTCCAGCGGGAAGGATGAAGACCGTGCACGTTTCCTGTAACTCCAGCACTGACTTAATGTCTGAAGATGGGGGGAGAAGAATGATGTGGATATTTTTTTTATCCCATCAAGTGTCTCTGGCTCCACCAAAAACAGGTCTTGAGCCCAACAAAAGAGAGAGGAAAAAAGATGTAATTGCAATGTTCTTTTTCACTGACTTCTCTGGTTTCCTTTGTAGCAGAGACGGAAGCGAGTTCTTCTGATGCTGTAAAATCTTCAGAAGTTGTTTGTGGAATCCGTGAAGTTTCCAGGACTCAATTCTCAATTCATGTGCAGAAGAAAACCTAAGATTATCCATGGGCTTCCTCTATGCCAAAGTTGTTCAGGCTGTTGTTATGCCCAACCTTGACATCAACTGAATCAGTCTTGCTACTCTTACTAGCCAACATGAGTAAAATCTTTGAGCGAAGCACACTGCTGCTCCTCAAGAATTCTGCTGCCCTGCATCTAACTCAAGTTACCTTCTTTTGGTGTAGTACTGGCTGCCATCTCCATACTGTGTATGGTATAAATCCATAGCTACTAGTCCTGTCTCGGAGCCCAGCATCAGCAATGTTACTTAACCAGGGGATGAGGCAGGGAAAAAGAGCCTTTATGGAACTACAGAAGGTGTTATGAGGCAAAAGTTCACATGCCATCGTAGTGTCAGAGAAAAAGCAACTGTACGAGGCACTTCTTTCTTCAGGTATATACCATGCTGTGCGTTTTTTTATTGAGCTTCTGGTTTTGACAGTCCTGTCACTTTGTCTGCTCGTCTGTCTGTTTGTCTATCTCTTACATGGAGGGTGGAATGACCCTGTGGAGTTCCCTTTCATGCTTTGGGCAAAATCCTTCTGGCTTCATTGCTTCTTGCTCTATCCCTGGCCCCTACCTCTTTCTCAGAGTCTTGCCCCTCCTTCCATAGCTCTTGATCTCAGCCTTCAGATCCAGCATTTTAATTATTTTCTAGCTGCACCATTACCACAACATATCTTCCTCGTTAGTGGGATAATTACTGCAACCTCTTCTTCCCCCGCTACACAAAGCAAGGCTAGCCATCAGTGGCTGACCTGAGAATGTCCTACCACTGCCAAGGTAGGCAAGAGCTTGGGAGTTTGACTTAGTTGTAGATGGCAGCAGTCACTGACAGCTGATGCTTGCTGGGAACAGAATGTATATACATAGGTGGGGTGAGGTACGGACTGTAATTTAGGTGTCCTTAGATGTGTGACATCGTAGATGTCCTAATGTCCACTCTGGACCATTTTCTGGTCACTTCTGCAGGTTCCTGCTGAATCC